TATCGGACTCGTACATAAGGCCTCTCTCTCTTCTCACACACACACACACACACACACTCGCAGCCCCGATACCCTGTGAAGTCTGTGTAACTGAACAAGTGCCTGTTTCACGGCTGCTACTCCTGTTTCCCTGCTGTAACTCCATCCCCGCGCTCCTGTGCCGTTTATTTCCATGCCTTTGTGCAGCCTGCAACCAGCCGCTTTCCACATGTACTTGTTTGTACGGACTTCAAGGAGCACGCAGGTGTTTCGTTGCAACCACACGGATGACGTATATACATACATCCAGGTGTGTTCTTTTTGTGTGTGCATGGTCCAGGAGGAGACCCACAATGGCCAGGATAACAAACAAGCCATTAAGGTGAAAGGCCTTTGTTCGACCGCTCCCCCCCCTCCAAGCTCCACCGTCTCGTCTTACCACAACACATATAGACCAGAGCCCCCGTCTTGACTGCATCCATCTACAGGCAGGACGCAGCAGCACAGTAAAGCTCCTATAGGTGGGCGGCGGCGGCGGCGGCAGGGATCAGACTGGCAACTGCATCTGGCAGCATGACGGAGGTCCAATAAGGATGAGATATGTGTAAACAAGGCAAATAAAAGTGCGGCAACAAAAAGATTGTGTTAACGTGTCTGTAGCCTGGATGTAGTTCATCAGTTGTATTTAGTTGTTGAAGATATTTAGCTTTTTAGCTGAAATAAAGTTTTAAGAGTTATTGGGGGGGTAGTCAGTTATCATTTACCAAAAGGATTGAATTTTAAACTTATCATACGTGGATCACCATGACTCAAGAGGTGTGTGTGGATAACTCTCAGGATCAGGTATCTGGAAATCTGGGCCATAGTAACGTGAATTGCAGAACGGGATCTTGGGAAATCGTCCATCCAGCCATTCATTAGCTTTACTGCTCATCCTTGTTTTTGCAATTTGAACAATGACCTCACACGTGAAAAACCCACACATCCCACCGGCACATGTCTCAGACACTTAGAGCACAATTGATGTGAACACGTGAAAAAAATCATCATTCGTCATCTACTTGCTTTTAATGAATGAATGAACGCTAGTTTTTAGTAGCCAGGATTAAACTGCTTAGTGACAGATGCTCCGTTAGCTCGTCAGGATGTTCTATGTATCGTCTTTGTACATTTATACATGTATGTTCGTTTTTGGGATATGGACAAAACTAAAAACTCAAGAAACCACTGCACGGTCGCTATTCCACGAGATGGCAAGGAGGTGGAGATGTCGCCCGTCGTCAGTCTATGGTCTCGACTTCAAAACGTTAATGTAGCTTCTATGAATCGATCGCATCTGACAGATTTAACTTCAACCCTCTCAAACCAAGTGTGAGTGTGTAGGTCAAAGACCGTCCTGCAAGGTGTGCAAACACCGGCCTCCAGCCCCAGTGATGACAAAACAGACGCAGCTTCCTTATCAGCAGCTTGGAAGTGCACAGATAAGTTCGGGGGGTTGAACAAACTGTTTTCACATAAACATCAATGTGGCAGAACAGGAAAAACAAAACAGAGGACAGGTGAATTTATCATGTTTTTCTCGTTTGGTGTATGTCCACACATGTTGACAAAACCTCGTGTCCTCAGTAAGAAGTGCTATCCACGATTGTTGACACCGGTTCGACCTGAACCTACAGCCGGTCAGAAAACAAATCACACACACGCAGTGGCAGCTCGCATGACCATAAGGCCTCCGTGGTTTTTAATCAGGCTGTGCTCCGGAGCAAGAAGCGCTCCATTAAGGCCCCGTGCTCGGAAAGATTCCCCGTCTCTTGATCTAATTCATTGTGCTGAGAAAAGTAGAACCGATAATAGATGTGCTACAGAAGCACTCCTTGTCCAAGTGGCCTGATGGATATCAGCCTCTGTCTTAAATAACATGTTCTGTGAATGCGTCTGCTTGAAGTGAATTCAAACAAAAAAAAAAGAAAAGACAGAAAGTAAAAGAAGTACATTGAGATAACCAATTCTCAGACAATCAGCGTCTTTGTGGAGCCGAGGGACAGGAGTCTCTTTCCCGTGAGACCGGAGTCCAATATTGTCCATTAAGAAAACAGGAAACATAGTGTTTGTCGTCCTTAGCAAATCCCCCATAAAGTCAGGTTTCCCATTTTCTTTTTCCTTGATGGAGAGAGGACAGCACTGAGGAAAAGACGTGGACCAGGTCCAACAGGTGTGTCTTTGTCATCTGTCCTGTTTGTTTCCAAGAAACTGACCCGAGCGTCTCTGCCAGACCTTCTGGATTTGATAAAGCCTGCAACAGGGAGTGATGGGAAAAAGAGCACAGAAGCAATCAAGTCTCTTTGTACGACTCTTTGGTTTTCTTCTTTAAATGAACAGGAAGAATAAAACATTATAGAGGGATGAGGAAAAACATCTTAATCCCATCAGACCAGCGTCAGTGTGGAAAAGACAAACTGACACGAAAGACAGTTCACGCCTTCTTTTATTTCTGACAATAAATCAAAAAGAAGCTCTTTTCTCCACCGACCCGTTCATCTGTCCATAAAGAGTACGTGTCTCTGATCTCTCTCTCTTTATCACTCAGTGTCTCTTCTGTTTCCTCGTTTGATCAACCAACGAAAGAGAGGAAAGAGAAAAACAAAACAAGGGAGAGAACGTCTTCTCTCTCTGCGTCTTCCCGAAGGTCAGCATCCGGCCGGCACGTCTGACATGAAATCAAACTCGTTCTGACCCAGCCAGAGCTCGGGCAGCTCATTCGCTCGGTCCAAGCCCAGTTCCACCACCAGAGACATGAGGACCTCCTCGTCCACGGGGTCAAAGTCGATAATTCCACCTGCACCGGCGCTCTGGGTCCCCATGCTGATCCCGACCCCCATCCCGCCTCCGCCAAGGCCCCCGGTCGGCCCCAGGAGCTGGTTCCCAGAGCCCAGAGGCGAGGGTCCAAAGCCCCTCTGAGCTCCACCGGGCGCGGGGTGTCCGGCAGAAGCACCGGTGAGGTTCTGGTAGTGCGAGTTGAGCTTCTGCAGCTGCATGCTGGCGATGAGGTGAGGCCCCGTCTGCAGGCAGAAGGGCTGAGGTTTGGAGAGCGGAGCCGACGACAGCGTTGACCCCGGCGAGGAGGCGGGGCCGGCAGACGGGGAGAAGGGCACGACGGAGGTTTTGGAGGACGGGTAGTGGAGCAGGGTGGTGAGAGGAGAGGAGGAGGAGGAGAGGTCCTTCATCGCAGCGTGGGCGTTGCCAGGGAAAAGCAGTGAGGTCATCACCGGGAAAACCCACCAGAGCCTGCCAGGAGAAAAGAAAGATGTTATGCAACGTTGTCAAAATGGGACAGGAGGCGGAAGAGATAAGGTCGTTAGATAAACAGAGGCCTGCTCCGATGGCAGGTGACTTTACCCAGACTGCATTTCATTAACGGGATCTACTGATGATTCAGTGTAAGGCTGAGGCCGGACCTGCAGGAAGTGAAGATGTTGTTCATCGTTCTCTGCTCTCAAACACACGGACTCTGTCATGTTTTAAAAGAACGTCCTCTTCATGAAGACAGAAAGACAGAAACATGCGTCCCAGGATGAACCAGGTGCTCACGGAAAACTGGGAAACTCCCACAGCTTCCTTCTGTCTGCACAGCAAGGTGATCGAGGTTAGCAGCTTCACTTAAATTGACTAATCAACCTTTAATTAATCAAAAACACGAATATCAAAATGATCAGAGCAACAGTCATTCCATCGATTATCACTGATTAATGTCCGTCCACGGGTTTGAGACTCTGAGTGTTGAACATTTGACGCCTGGAGGACGGATGAGTAATAATTCAGAGGTTCTTTTAAAGCGTTTCCTGACAAACACGCGTCTGTTTCAGGCCTCGACAACAAAAGTGTTGTTGACTTAAGAGCAGCTTCACTCGTGTTCTTATGACCCAGTAAATCACCGAGATCTGTCTGGGAAACGCACAACGTGGCGACCGGTGCCTGGACGGCTGCGTGACTCACTGTGTTTAGGACTGATTGTGTGTGCGTGTGTGTGTGTGTGTGTGTGTCTGTGTGTGTATTCGCTTGATGTCTGCTTTTCCTCTCGACCTATTGAGCAGCAAATTAACCATGAACAGGCCGCAGGAGAAAGCCTGTGAGACAGACGGGGTTAAAGAGTGTTTGTGGGTCTGTGTGTGTGAACGGAGCGCACAACACAACGGAGCCTTTGAGGACCTCGGAGAGTGATTGGGTCACATGATGGATAAATACATATGGGTCCTGAGAACAGAGCATATGTGTGGTCGTGTGTGTGTGTGTGTGTGTGTGCAGAGGTAAAAAACAATGTTTGTGTGTTTCAGCGTGTGTGTGTTACTCAAGCCCTCTTGCAAAAAGACTCCTCGAGGTTCATGTTAAAGTCCCTGAGCTGGTTTATATTACACACAGTTCAAAAAGCATGTGTGGATTAATACACACACACACACACATGCATGCATACATGCATACACATCCTTGGACTCCTATCTTTGTGAGGACCCTCGTTCATATAATCCATTCCCGGGCCCCTCACCCTCAGACAACCCTTTGAAAATGTCTCAGAGACTGAGGACCGTCCAAAACGTCCTCAGTCTCCAAGGTTTGGAACTCAAATTGGTCCTAACAAAGATAGACTTGAAAGGACACACACACGCACACACATGCACACACACACACACACAGACACACAGAGCGAGCCCCTCCTCCCAGCGCTGGCTTTTATTTAGCGAGAACATAATTGCTACAGGCAGGCATGCAGCTGCACTCGACTGATAGAGTTAACACACACACACACAAAGATACCAAACAGCTGTCAATGGCAGGTCTGTGTGTGTGTGTGTGTGTGTGTGTGTGTGTGTGTGTGTGTGTTCATTATTCATTGACTGATTACTGTCAGGGCCAGGCTGCACATGGTGTCTCTGCTCAGCAGCTTTCCACCACACTGAGTCGAGGAGACAAACAACAAACACCACACTGAGCCCTCCAGGTTTTTATCATCACGCGACAACGATGATTCTGCGAATGATGCGTTCAGATAAACTAGTGTTTGATTTCAACATTCATCCAATCACCCACAGATCCAGCACCAAGTCTCGCCTGCAGGCTTTAGAGGAGGACTTGAAAAACTCAGTGGCGTTAAATGTAAGTTGTCGTCAGCTCGGATTGATAATAACAACTATTGATTCCTGTTGTCGACAGTCGCCCCTGCCGGAGATAGCGACTCGCAGCTAAGACGACAAACGTGTTCATATCTCCCAAAGGAAGGTGTGAGAGGTTTTATTTCTGGTGCATTAAGTGCTTCACTTGGTTTAAATCATCTGATAATAACGTCAGAATCGTGGGTTGTGAAGTTTCTAACTTTTGGCGGAACTGAAGAGAAAGAAATTAGCCCCATGTAGCTTCCAGTGCTATCACTGTATGATTTTAAAACCTTTGACTTTCTATTTCTGGGGGAAAAAAATCAATTTGTCCACAAAGTTTTCTTCCTCAAACGCTCCAGCTGATGAATTTCTTGAAATAAATCTCCCGAGAGCTCATGGGACCGAGGATTTCAAGAAAGGGAGGAATCCTCACCGTGTACAAATCAGACTGTGACTGTGAGATGAAGATGAGTCGGGGTCGGACGTGTTCAGACCGTTCGCCCCCCTCGTGCAACAGGAGGGCGGCTGACAGGACTGAGGAAGGATGTCGTATGAAAGTGCTGGACGGGGGCCAGTGCTTTTTCCTGTTCACAGCTGACCTGATTCATTGTGTTCTTCCACCACGTTTATGACATTGTGAAATTGGCCCTGGTTCAGTTTCCCTATAAACGATTTCATTAGCAGTCTCGGCCGTGGACCGGTCTGCGTTTACTTTAATTATGAGCAATCAAAGTCCGCTGCCTCTGCCAGACCGGCAGCTCTTACACAAAACAATAAAACAGCTCCACGGTCATAAAATCATAGTTATAACTAATTATTTACTCGACTGAACGTCAGACAAATACACAAAAAGCCTGTCACAGTTTATTAGAGCCCAAGGTGACGTCTTCAAATTCTTTTATGCTCCAAAACCAGAATATATGAAAGTAACAGTCACACAAAACATAAATACAACAAATGTTCACATTTCAGAAGCTGAAACCAATTAATTCTTGAGCCTTTTTACCTCATTACTTTTCTGATTTTCTGTGATTTCACTACAGACAATTAATCAACTGATGGTTTCATCATGAAATCTTTGTTTGACGTCTGTGTCAGTTGAATTTCTTTGACAAAACAAACCATTCGAAAGCTTAAACTTGAGTTTTTGGGAACTTGTGATGTGCATTTTTCAGTATTTTCTTGACACCGAATCACAGAAAACTTGGCGAGGACGACAATTGACGCACATTAAAGGAAAATCAAAAGAATGTTATCGTGCACAACCAAAGGTGATGTTCATTCTTGACCTTGGAAAGAACAGACGGGAAAAATAATCTCACCACAAAGTCCATTTAGTAGCTGGTTCTGGATCTTTCCATCACATCACATGATCGTCTTTATATCTATGAAACCAACGTGGACGAGAGGTTTTAAACAAGTTTGTGCAGGAGATCATGAGATGTGATGGAAGAACAGCTGCTGAATGGATAATTGTTTTACATTAGGTATTAGAATATCTTATTTTTATGGAGTTATGCTTTTGACAATGCATTTATCAAGAGGCAGCCAACACACACACACACACACACACACACACACACACACACACACACACACACACACACACACCAACTACAGAGGTTTCAATTACATAATTAAAGCGTGACAAGTAA